CTGCCGCGCGCCGACCACCACCTCGTATCTGCGGCTGATCGTGCCGTCGCTACTGCTGCTGCTGCTGCTGCTGCTGCTGCTGCTGCTGCTGCTGCTGCTGCTGCTGCTGCTGCTGCTGCTGTTTCTCTCCTCCTCCTCCTCTCCTACTCCTCCACCTCCTCCTGCCTCCTCCTCACTCCTCCTCCTCCTCCTCCTCCTCCTCCTCCTCCTCCTCCTCGCCCTCCTTCCTCCTCCTCCTCCTCCTCCTCCTCCTCCTCCTCCTCCCTCCTCCTCCTCCCCCTCCTACTCCTCCTCCTCCTCCTCCCTCCTCCTCCTCCTCCTCCTCCTCCTTCCTCCTCCTCCTCTCCGCCTCCTCCTCTCCTCCTCCTCCTCCTCCTCCTCCCTCCCCTCCTCCTCCTCCTCCTCCTCCTCCTCCTCCTCCTCTCCTCCTCCTCCTCCTCCCCTCCTCCTCCCCCTCCTGCCTCCATCTCCTCCTCCTCCTCCTCCCACCTTCCACCTCCTCCTCCTCCTCCTCCTCCTCTCCTCCTCCTCCTCCTCCTCCTCCTTCTCCTCCTCCTCCTCCTCCTCCTCCACCCCTCCTCCTCCTCCTCCTCCTCCTCCTCCTCCTCCTCCACCCTCTCCTCCTCCTCCTCCTCCTCCTCTCCTCCTCCCTCCTCCTCCTTCCTCCTCCTCCTCCACCGTCCTCCTCCTCCTCCACCTCCTCCTCGACATCCTCCTCATCTTGCTGCTGCAGTATCTCCTCCCTCTCACCCCTCCTCCTCCTCCTCCTCCTCCCCTCCTCCTCCTCCTCCTCCCTCCCTCCCTCCCTCCCCCTCCCTCCCTCCCGTCGGGCCGACCAGGAGGGGATACGGGTATCCCCCCGGATGGGCCTCCTGAGGCCTCCTGGAGGCCTCCTGGAGCCCATGGGGCCCCCTGAGGCCTTTTGGAGCCCATGGGGCCCCCTGAAGCCTTCTGGAACACATGGGGCATCCTGAGGCCTTCTGGATCCCATGGGGCATCCTGATGCCTTCTGGAGCCCCTGGTACCTCCTGAGGTTTCCTGAAACTTCCTGGTGCCTCATAGGACCGTCTGGACCCGCTTGGGACCTCCTGATGCATTATGGAGCCTCCTGGGGCCTTCTGGGGCTTCTTGTGATATCCTGGTACCTCCTGTAACCTACTGAGATATCCTGGGGCCTTCTGGGATGTTCTGGAAACCCCTGTGGCCTCCTGCGGTCTCCGTGGACATCCTGGCCGTCTCGGGGCGCCACGAGGCCCTCTCCTGGGGCTCCCCGCGGCTGTCTTGGGCTGTTTGGGGCAGATCCCTGGGACTTCTGGGTACCGAAAATAAGTGAACCGAAGACCCTCCGAGAGCGCAGGGTTTGGTTCACTTATTTGGTTGGCATATGGCCGCGTCCGCCCCCCCCCCCCCAGGACCGTTTCGGGGCAGGACATAATGATTTGTTCTTAAACTTCGTAAGGTTGATCCGTCGTAATACACACATAAACAATATACCATATATTTTATATATACTATATATATATATATTAATATATATATATATATATATATATATATGGACGGCGGCACCCTATCGGGCGATACCGATATGAGGCCGCCGAACGTCGACATCCCGAGGTCCCGTTACATCTGAAGAGGTATGTAGCATCTTGGGCGTTTTGTGGAACACTATGTGATTACATTCGCACAAGCACAGCTCCATAACGCTTTGCGTATAGCATGTCATTATTTTTATCTTTGGCCGACCTGAGACCAGAGACCAGAGATTCGGGAAGACTCATCTCCGGTCGACCGGAGACCGGAGACCAGAGATTCCTGGGACTCATCTCCGGTCGACCGGAGACCGGAGACCAGAGATCTCCCAGGACTCATCTCCGGTCGACCGGAGACCGGAGACCAGAGATTCCTGGAGACTCATCTCTGGTCGACCGGAGACCGGAGACTGGAGATTCCTAGAGACTCATCTCCGGTCGACCGGAGATGAGTCCTGGGAGATCTCTGGTCTCTGGTCTCCGGTCGACCGGAGATGAGTCTCCAGGAATCTCTGGTCTCCGGTCTCCGGTCGACCAGAGAAAAGTCTTCAGGAATCTCTGGTCTCCTGTTGACTGGAGATCAGCCGCTCCATAATCTCTGATCTCCGGTCTCTGGTCGACTTCATTCGTCATGCAGGGCTCAAGCGAACAGTCGGTCACAGACGAGACCTGCGCGGCTACTATGCTTTTGTCTACCGGAGACCAGAGATTCCTGGAGACTCATCTCCGGTCGACCGGAGACCGGAGACCAGAGATTCCTGGAGACTCATCTCTGGTCGACCGGAGATGAATCCTGGGAGATCTCCGGTCTCCGGTCTCCGGTCGACCGGAGATGAGTCTCCAGGAATCTCCGGTCTCCGGTCTCCGGTCGACCGGAGATGAGTCTCCTGGAATCTCTGGTCTCCGGTCTCTGGTCGACCAGAGATATGTATTCAGGAATCTCTGGTCTCCGGTCTCCGGTTGACTGTAGATCAGCCACTCCAGAATCTCTGCGCATGGTCTCCGGTTTCTGGTTGATTTCATTCGTCATGCAGGGCTCAAGCGGACAGTCGGTCACAGACAAGACCCGCGCGGCTACTATGCCTTTGTCTGCGGACGAACGCCTCGCCGAACTGCGCCGCCCAGATGATGGCGAGTCTCGTCTCGTCACCCTGACGGCTGCCCAGTGTTCGCGCCTGAGTTGGCAACGTGCATCGGATCTTCCCCGATCGGGAAATGGTCGATCTGGCACTTCGGAGTGCGATCCCAATCGTGTTTTAAGTGTCGCTATCTGGCATTCGTTCCTCCTGGGCCCCCTCTCGATCTGATCATCCGTCCCCCGCGGTCACATCGCCTGGAGGCGATGGCGTTTGCGATCAATGCTGTCGGCCGTCGCTCAGCCGACCAAGGCAGGACGGTGAACCCTGAGGACGTGGAGGCCGCTCTCGACATGCCAGACTTCCTTTTCCGCCCAGTCGACCAAGTCGCCCACATGCTGAACCTGATCGACGTGGTGATGGCATGGTCGGGCAACATCGATGAGGAGACGGTCAAGGCGGCCGTGGAGAGCAGAGGGGCGCAGGCAATGGAGAACGTGCCAGATGTGCTGAAGATTCCAGCAGGAGCGCCTGCGAGCGTGAAGGCGCAGTTCGTTGTTCAGCGGGCTGGCGTTGGGCGGTACAACGTGTTGCGCCACTTCATTTTCAAGCACGGCACCAGCCTAAAGCGCGCAGACACGCGCCTGTACACCATGGGCCAGTCGGCGACGTTCCCTGCGGCCGAGGACTCCAACACTTGGGGCCAGCGGAAGAATTTCAATGCGATGCTCGACCGCTTGCCAGGATTCCAAGTGCGCCATTTCAGTGTGACCCGCAAGGAGCCCAGAGATCAGCAGGGGAAGGGCTGGGACCCCACGCCAGAAGAGATCCGCGACGGCTTCGCGTACATCCGCGAGCACTACCACGAGATTGCTGGTTCAAGCGCGATCGAAGCGCAGGAGTGGGTGCTTCTGCAGACTAAAATCCGATCGAGCGCTTGCTTTGGGTGGCCAACCAGCCAGATCGAGAAGGCGTTGGTGAACATGGACAAGGCATCAGCTTCGGCCGACGTAGACATATTCTTCCCGCTGACGTCGTACGACCTGCATCCTGTCATCCAGGAGCTTCTGCTGCCGTTGATCTACGCTTTCGCCCCGCTCTCTGGTACCATGGTGCTCGGCGCTCCCGGAGTGGGGAAGACTCCCTTGTGCCAGATTGCAGCCATGGCGTGGGGGCGGTACGTGACGCGGAGCAAAGGCATCGACAAGAAGCCTGGCTTCCGGCGGGGCAAACAGATGGACGTCTTTCGGGATAAGGCAACGCCCGTGTATGAAGGCATCTTGCTCGACGACCCCTCTCTGGATCGCATTGACATCGAGGACCTCAAGGCCTTCGGTACAGTCCACACAGCGGGTCATTGTGACGCTCGGTATACTCCCCCTAAGTGGGCCAAGGGCCAGTTCCACGCGCTTCTCAGCAACTGCTGGTCGGAAGATGCTGAGCCGCCAGACTCGGCGGAATTCTCCATCGACCCCCAGCTGTTCATGAGAATGCTCGAGAAGCCTTTCGGCTACCTCAGCCAGTCGCACAGGCTCGCCCTCACTAAGCGGTTCGTGCTCGTTGTGGTCGGCAGGCGCGCGTTGTACGTGCGAGCGCCTAGCTCCGATGACGCCGCCCAGATCTTTAAGTTCACTCAGGGCAACGTGGCCTCTGACTTTCTGTTGCCAGACCACAAGGACGCCCTCGCTGGCTTCTACCAGGGCATGGATCACGAGGACTGCGTGCACCCAGATTATGCGCTGCACGTCGAAAACGAATACAGTCTCGTATGCGAGGTGCAGGAGGCGGTGCGGCAGAAGACCGCAGAGGAGATCGCCTCGTGGTGGGCGAACCGCACGGCCGATCGTCTATCGTCAGCCAGTGGCGCACCACCTGCGCCATCCATCCACCATGTCCCTGCTACTGCTGGTACGCAGGCATCCGACGCTGGCGGCGTGCGCGTGCGAGCGGATGCTGACGGCCAGTATCGCTTCCGCCTGCCAGCCGCGGGATCGCTGGCACCGCCAGGCGGATCGCGCCGCGCTTTCCGATACCCTCTCTCCGCGAAGCGTGAGCGCGAGGAGTTGGATCGGACCGACGCGCCTGGCGGCCCGAGGCCGAGGAGGAGCCTCGGCAGCGCCGCCGAGGGCGCTGCGCGGGCCAGCGCCAACGGCGCCAGATCGGCGTCGGGCGCGGGGGCGACGCCGCATGGCCTAAAGGAAGAGTTCAGCAGCCCCCCTGCGGCCCCCGCCGTGGATAGCATTGGCGGCGCTGTGATCGACGTATTGTCCAGCGGAGAGGAGGGCGACGCTCCGCCCGCGCCGCTTGCTCGCTACCCGCGGGGAGCACGCCTGTACGACAGATCGTTTGGCTGCATCGTGTCGATGCAGTTCCGTCCCGAGAACGTGCGGCG